ATCAACTTTGTGCATTGAAATTGCTTCTCATATGTCACACTAACTGCCAGAAAGTGTATCTCATGTGTCTGATTTTATTTTATATTATGGCTTCCAGATGGTAGACTACTTATGGAGTAATCCTCACTTTTTGATCTCCTTTGTTCAAAAAACTGAAGCATGTACTGGTCACAGCATAGTAACCTAATCTTGCAAATTGATGCATCTTTTCTTTTTTTGCTTACAATAGCATGGATCATCTGCAACATTGCCTGAATAAACGTACCATTTGTCACTAGCAAAAAAAGCTGTCATCATTAACTTGATTAATCAAATGCTGCTGTTAAAGATGGATTGAAAGCACAAAATAGTCAGCCCAGTGCCACGTAATGAAGAGATTAATTTGAACAAGACAACCAATTTTGTATAACAACTCTCATGCTTTACTTAGAAAGCCATCAATTAGTTGTTGTTTTCTCCCCCTTGGCGTACTGTTTTGTCTTTTGGAACAACAAAAAGGCAATTTGCTCAAAAGTCAATCTGCTTTGTGTGTTGTTGTTGTTTTTAAAAATGGCGGAGTTAAGTACCTCCGCCCTCTTTAGTTCTGTAATCTGAAACCTTGACTTTGATAGCCAAAAGGAAATTAATGATAGAAGAGAAAAAGTTACAATGGAATTATTCCCCTCTCAGGATATCACTAATTTCCTTTTTGTAATGTGATCATAATTCTGGTAGCAGGAGTGCAACAAGGAAGGCCTATGAAGACCTTCATTCCTTCATTATCTTGGATGGAGATGAATGTATCCCATGCTCAGGGTGCCAACTTTAGTCATGAAGAAAGTTGCTAACCCACTTAATCAGCTGCTATTGTTTAGGCCACAAAGGGGGGGGGTTGAAAAGGCATTTTAAAGAGGCAGTGCTCTGATCATTCATTTTTATGCATACAATAGCCCTGCCCATGTTGTATTAACCAAGAACATATTCTATGCAGTATGGGCCCATCACACCACTCTCATCAATATGCAGGGATGGGGAAATCTGTCTCTCTGGGGTTCTCTTTCTTCCAGTCAGTTTGCAACATGTTCGTACCAGTTTACAGATCTTTAGTGGGCATTTATTCTAACATGTGTATTTTTGTATGCAATTCCCTCCCTAGTAGCATGCAATTTTGTTTGTCGTTTTCAACAATGTACACATTTTTGTACACATGTTAGAGTTGGAAAAGGATGTCACAGATCTCAGAGAAGTGCAAATTTGAAAGGATAGCTGTCTGTTGGTTCACATATTGTTCCGGGAAGTGCAGATTAGGTAAATTTGCATTAAAATGTGATAGGAATGAAATGTGCCCTGCTCACCTGATGGCAGGTCATACAAGGAAACAGATGTGCAGGCAAGCCAAAAGTTCCTCTGTCAATCCCAAAGCAAAGTGTGTAGAATCTAGCAGAACTGTGCAAGACCCCCCACATAGACACACTTGATTTGGGACCCAGTTTCATTATTCTGATTGGCCTGGCCCAGCCCTAATGTTCAACCAGAGTTTTAAATCCACATTAAAAATGTGGTTGCCAGTAAGGAGAGGGGAAGAAGAAAGAGACAATCCAAGCACCAGTCTCTGTTTATAGTGTCTCTTTCTCTCCCTGACCCACCATTCATTCATTCATTCATTCATTTCATAACACATATATACCACTTGATAGGTTTTTTTAAAACAAAAAACCAAGAGGTTTAAAAAACATTAAAACTATCACTAAGAAAAATTAGCAACAACAATTTAAGACTTTCAAAAAGTTAGAATACCCAGACTAAAAACAGATTAAAATTCATATCAACTTTCTAAACATCTGGATAAGTTTGTCTAAACAAAAACAGGACTTAAACCATGGCACATTCTCTTTCATGATAGTCTGTTTTCAGAAGTGTATGGGAGGCACACACACACCCCAGTGCGCTCTCTCTCTCTCTCTCTCTCTCTCTCTCTCTCTCTCTCGGTCTCTCTCTCTCACACACACACAAATTGCATTGCTGTATTAGTCCAAAGCTACCTAGTGTAAAGGTAAAGGTAAAGGGACCCCTGACCATTAGGTCCAGTCGTGGCTGACTCTGGGGTTGCGGTGCTCATCTCACTTTATTGGCCGAGGGAGCTTGCGTACAGCTTCCGGGTCATGTGGCCAGCATGACTAAGCCGCTTCTGGCGAACCAGAGCAGTGCACAGAAACGCCGTTTACCTTCCCGCCAGAGCAGTACCTATTTATCTACTTGCACTTTGACGTGCTTTCGAACTGCTAGGTTGGCAGGAGCAGGGACCGAGCAACGGGAGCTCACACCGTCGCGGGGATTCAAACCGCCAACCTTCTGATCAGCAAGTCCTAGGCTCTGTGGTTTAACCCACAGCGCCACCCGCGTCCCCCTACCTAGTGTAGCCTTCCATTTTTAACAGTAAATCCCGGATGCCTCTGGACATTTACAAACATGGCATAAGGTTGTGCCCAGTACCTGGTAACTGGTGACATCCTGCCTCAAAGCATGGCATTTCCATTTAGCTATTGTTGCAAACAGCCACTGATAGAGATAAGAGAATTTTGCATTCCGGGAAGCACCTTCTTCCATCCATCCTAAACTATTGTAGAACAACATTATTGAGTTACCCATGAACCACCATGTTATCAGAGAAGGAGGAAGAGATCCCTATCTGTCCGCTTTGCTCACAGTCTTGCAGATACCCATTACAGGTATCTTCTTCTACCCCAACCCATTCCATATACAAGCAACCACCATGTTCTCCACTTTTAAGAAATCTCTTTTTAAAAAATAATGCTTTATTATACTATTAACGCACCAACAAAACACAAAAAATCATACAATTATGTCATTTGTTAAAAAGATACAAAGTTAACAAATAAACTCGTATGTTTTGACAATGAATCTTCTTAAAGTACATCTAACTTCCCATCGTCTCCGTATTTCATTTCATATTTACTAACTTGTTACAAAAACCTATCCAATTGTTCTATACTAAAGTATTATTTCTTCTGAGTCCTTGTTTCTTACTTGGTACAGGTACAGAAATTATTCATAGGCAGCGACCGAGTTCATACTACCACAATTGTTCTTAAGATCTGTTTTGAAAACTTCCCATTTTGCAATAAATATTTGTTTTGAATTATCTTTCATTTTTTCGGTTAATTTGGCTTTGTTGTTGTTGTTGTTTAGTCGTTTAGTCATGTCTGACTCTTCGTGATCCCATGGACCAGAGCACGCCAGGCACTCCTGTCTTCCACTGTTTCCCGCAGTTTGGTCAAACTCATGTTGGTAGCTTCGAGAACACTGTCCAACCATCTCGTCCTCTGTTGTCCCTTTCTCCTTGTGCCCACAATCTTTCCCAACATCAAGGTCTTTTCCAGGGAGTCTTCTCTTCTCATGAGGTGGCCAAAGTATTGGAGCTTCAGCTTCAGGATCTGTTCTTCCAGTGAGCACTCAGGGCTGATTTCCTTAAGAGTGGATAGGTTTGATCTTCTTGCAGTCCATGGGACTCTCAAGAGTCTCCTCCAGCACCATAACTCAAAAGCATCAATTCTTCGGCGATCAGCCTTCTTTATGGTTCAGCTCTCCCTTCCATACATCACTACTGGGAAAACCATAGCTTTAACCATATGGACCTTTGTCACCAATGTGATGTCTCTGCTTTTTAAGATGCTGTCTAGGTTTGTCACTGCTTTTCTCCCAAGAAGCAGGCGTCTTTTAATTTTGTGACTGCTGTCACCATCTGCAGTGATCATGGAACCCAAGAAAGTAAAATCTCTCACTGTCTCTATTTCTTCCCCTTCTTTGGCTAGCTCTGCATATTCAACTAATTTCTGTAACCATTCTGACCTGGAAGAAATTTTATCCATTTTCCAGTTATTCGCTATTAAGATTCTCACAGCGATGGGCATATAAAAACATTTCTCTTACATTCCTAGGACACTTTTAAGAAATCTCAGAGCAGCCCATCACAGGAAGCAGAGTCACATCAGGGCGCTCTCAGATTACTGGGTTTGGCTGGATCCTTGATTTGACTGGAGCTCTACTCTGTGCCATACTTAACCTACTGGTTAATTCAGACCTGGTATTATGAAATTATCAAGAGAACCACTAATGCCATAAATCTAAATACTGTGACATTTCCAAATTATATACTACACTGATGGGGAGACACTAGATTGGGTAGTTAGATGATGACTCTTGAAAATGACCTTATAGAAACATTTATTTCACAACACTTTAGCCTCATTTTGATTAATTGGATCTAGACATTTTCCTCATTGGGGAACTGCAAAAGATGCCAATCAGCTGAGATCACACACAGAATCCATGTAATTTGCCATCTGTCCCAGGTTAGGAAGCATAACAGGCTCTCCAAAGACATACAGGTAAACTCTCGTGCTAAATAAACTTTCTCTTTAAAAAAAGAGAGAAAAAGAGTGCTTGCTTATCAAAAATTCTCTAGAGGGGAAAAAAATCAGAATGAATGTAACCTCCTCCTAATGAGGCAGTAATGCATAATTATCATAATACACACACTTCTCTCCATAGAGGAATATTTATAAACACGAGAACACTCTGGTTTGCGCGAGTATACAAATTGTTGTACCTCTTGTGGTTTTGTCTCATTGCAGCAATGTTAATGAATTTTGTTAAGTCTAAGCTCGGTCATTTGGAGAGCGAGAATAAAAATGGGAAATCTTACGCCTTCTTTTTTTAACTCTTGCTGTTGGCTGCAGTGAGGATGTGGCAGCAGAGCCCTGAATGAAATCAAGGCAGCACTGATCATTCAGGTAGGGTTGCTATACATCTGGGAATTGGACAGCAAAATTGTGTCTGGGGAAACCCAGGTGTATGGCAAGTAGGGCAATATTTTAACAACAACTTTCAGAAGAAGGGGGGGAAAGAGCTCAACAACTTTGTCCGGATTTTCACTTTTAGGAATAGGGCAAGCCTAATTCAGGTACTTATTTGTCCTGTGTTTTTTACTTTATTTTTAGTTTCTCCTACTGTTTCGTCAAGATGTAATCATTAAAAAACGCATCGAACCTGGTTTTTGTCAAAGCTAGGATGCACAATGAAACAACCTTCAGAATCAGCTTCCTGTTTCAAAGCTGCTTGAAAAGTCCAGCCTTTTGAGACCACCTTTCTAACATAGATCCCAGGTAGGATTGACCATTTAAGTCCATGTAGGCCTCATATTCCAAATGCCCTTATACCGCTCTAAGTACACCATCTCAACACTTTTACTGCGCCCTACCAACTCTGCTCAAATTATTAAGAGCACGAGATACAAAAAATGCTAATGCAATGTTTCATTTTTAAAGTGCATTTTTAGGAATGTGAAAATCTGATGGCTTTGCTTGATGAGGTAAGATGGCTATAGCAAAGAAGGGTTAGTTGTGTGCACATTAAATATAGATAGACGGTAGCATATTACAGATAAAAAGAGGGAAATTTGCATTGTAATAAGCCCGCTGTTAGCATCTTAACATTGCAGTGAAGTTTATTTACTGCAGCGGAAATCAAACTCATTTTACAGGTCCTGGGTTATGAACCACAGTAAACTAAGGAAGCCGGGTGCGGGTGCAGGTGGGGAACGTAACCAGTGAAGTGAAATTAGGGAAATAAAAAGCCCTTGTTGACAAAGGTACAACATTAAACCTCTCTGCATTCTTCTGTTGCCTAAGTGTACTTGAGGAAGGAGTCTCCATCACCTTGACAGCCCACTTTATTTCTGCACTGCGAAGTTTATTTACCTGAATTATTAATGCTGCTTTTGTTTGTAGCGATATCTTAATTTTTCCCCCCTTTTCATTCACCTGTCACAATTGTTTTTGATTCACATCTCAGAATGATGCGCAAATCTTTAGGAAGCGATTCAGTGTCACCCACATTTTTGCTCTCTTATCGCGTGCTTCTCTCTTCATGGTAAAGCTGGGCTGTTCTGCGGGGGGTTTATCCCCCCCCTCCATGAAGACTGTCAGTCACAGAGATTATGCTTTAAACTTAACCAAGTGGATACAAGATCGAATTTAAATGACGTCTCATATGTCAGCAGATAGTATATCATGTAGAACCAGCAGAGCCAACGCACACATATCTTCCTAAATGATGTAAACAGTTTCTGTAGCCTATAGTGTGATCCAGAAACTGTTAGCGCAAATAGTTAAGAACATAGGAAGGTCCCTGCTGGATGAGGTCCAGGACCCATCTAGTTATAGAATTGTAGAGTTGTAGAATTGGAAGGGACCCTGTGGATCATCTAGTCCAACTCCCTGCCATTCAGGAATATGCAGCTGCCCCATACAGGAATTGAACCTGCAACCTTAGCATTATCAGTACCATGCTCTAACCAAGTGATCACCATCCTGTTCTCATAGCAGGCAGACAAATGCCTGTGGTAAGCCTGAAAGCAACGTCCAAGTGCAACAGTATTGTAATAGATTTGGGAGGGGACCCCCCACCTAATCCCTATAAATTAATAAATGATTGGATTTTGATTATTTGGGGTGTTAAGGGAGAAATACAAATTGTCGAGGAATTCCTGAGCTAGCCTGTGCCAAATGAGCTGGCCAACTGTTTCTTAACATGACAGGGCTATGGAGGGCCATTGGCAATGCAAGAGAATTGTGTTATGTACTGAAGTTCTCACCCTGGGCCAGCAGGGGGATACTGTAGATAGTTTTCACTCAGGTCCACATATGCAAATAAGGGATTGAATGAGACGTTCAGTGATTGGATAGTTACAGAAAATGGTTACTGTTGTGTTGTAGTGGAGCTCTATATAAGCAGGCTGGCTGAATCCTTCAGTTCAGTTCTGTTCTGGCCTGTGAATAAACAAGAGCTGTTTGAAGAATCGCTGTGTCGTCTGATATGTTCACCCACAACTTAACAAATTGTCCTTTTCCCCTGTTGCTCCGAGGTGTGGACAGTGACAGAGGTTGGAAGGCTGCCAGCATAACTGGGTGTGAGGTGATAGGAAGAGAATCCTGAGCAAGGTTCGCTGGGAAGAAGAAGAGGAAGGAGAAAGACTGGGATCCATCTTGGGTGGGCAGGCTGCTGGCGGGCTGCAAAAGATGCCTTGGCCTCCATGGCTGCCCTGCTGTGGTGGATATGCCCCTCTGGACTCCCTCCTTGCAGACTGAAGGTGTAAATAGTTGAATAAACCATAGTTCTTAAGGCTATGACAGTCTCTGCCATGTCTCAGTGCTACAGAGGAACACAGACCCTGGCTGAGTGCTGAGAACCCCATGGGTTCTTGCCACCACTCAGCAAAGAGGGGGGGGCACCTGACTTTTGTAACAGTATCATTCATACTCATGACATCCAGCAACTGTTATTTAGAGGCATACTGTCACCATCATGGCTAGTAGTCACTGAAAGCCTTATACTCCGTGGAATTGTCTAATCCTCTTTTAAAGCCATCCAAGTTGGGGAACATCACTACAGCTTTGGGGAGTTGTCTAAGGAGCTCAGTGTTGCATTCCTGATGTGTGTTATTTCACACCCCATATTTTTCATGGAGCGTGAGGAGGCGCCAGAGCTGTAACTCAGTGGTACACCACAACACACACATATCTGGCTGTAAAGTAACATAACATTATATATAATAAAACTGTAATTGTCACATCAAAAAATTGCAAAGTACAGTTCCTGGTGGCAATACCATATCATATTACTATTAACCTTCTATATGCTTTTATTGTCGTAAAGTCCAAGGATAGTCAGGACCAGTTCTCAAGATACACCCTTGTTTTGCCCATTGGGCTTCTTCAGCGACAAGATTTCCAGGAGAAACAAGGTGTATCCTAAGAACTGGCCTATCATCAGCTGCCTTATTGTTACTAAGTAGTTCTGTTTGTTACACTCTCATAACATATAATGTTATGTTACTTTACAGCCAGTTGCGTGTGTGTTGTGGTATTCTGAACATGATTTACGTAATGAGGCAATTGTGGCATGTGTTAACTCAGTGGTACACAGCAGAATCAGTCAGTCCCCAGTTAAAAGTTAAGAGGTTCAAGTGCGTATTTTGCAGAAAACACAAGTTGCAATCCTGTTTGCTATTGAGCTATTCCACTTTCCCTCCTCAAAGAAGATTCTGAGAACTGTGGTTTGTTAACTGTATCTATGTGAATGCCCAGAATCCTTTTCTTTTGGGGGGGGGGGTCAAATGTCATTTAAAGGTACAGTGTGTACATAGGCCGAAATCGACTTCCATCAGATTTAAGGAGCCCAGTAGTGAAGCCAGCAGCTATGATCCAAGCCAGAGTTTTTAGCACTGTAATCAATGAATTAAGCTCATATAAATTGTGGGCTGAACTGCAGCCAACTTCTTGGCAGCAAATTTTTCTATGCATTCAAGAGCATTCTTTTAGAAAGCTTACTGTTTTAGAAAACTGGGCCTCCTTTGAATTTACACAGCACCTTTTTGTTTCAGAGCCCTGGAAATACATTTCAAAATGACGCAGGTAGAAGAAAATGGAAAAAGGGACACTTTACTCATCTGCAAGTTACTTCAGGCTCATGTGTGCTTTTTGAACTCCTATCTCACACCCAGGTATCACAAAGATTCTACTGAGAAAGTAATATTGGTAGAGACCATATGTTCAAACGCCATACCATTTCAAACAGACATGGCTTGTTGAAAGAAAAAATGAAAACTTTCCCCCTTCCCCATCCCCCTGCCTTTGATTTTTTCTTCCCCCAGAAGGATGAAATGAAAGGGACAGTGATACATATTTTAAACCCTGTGAATTCACAATGGGGCTTTAGAATAAAGAGGGTTTTTTTTAAAAAGAGAGAAAGAAAGAAACCTTTGAACTAAACAAAGGTCCATCGCTGTGCACTTATTTTGCACAGCCACCTCGGAAAGGAAATGATGCTCAATGGAGGGACCAGCTGGCTTTTGCCATTGCACCTCTCCTGACACCAGACAGACGCATCATCCCAGCCACTATCAATCCACTGTATGTCGTGTCATTGACTCCTCTTGGTCCTGATCTCTTATCTCGTAGAGATTTCTTTTCTAGTCAAATGCCCTGTGAAAGTATCCACTCTGGGCCTTGCATCTGAGTATCTCTTTGTACTCCCCTGTAGCCTAGCAAGCTGCATTAAGTTGATTAAAGTGGCTCTATAGACAGTTACTTAGGCTCTTACACTGCCCTTAGATTAAAGACAAGGCAGCGCCCTCCTTTCAAGAGTTCTTCTTCTCCCCTCCCTCTTGCGAAACTGCAACTTTCAAAAGGGGTCAGTAAAAGACAAAGGCTCTTATGAACCCGAGTAGGAAAAAAGGCTTTTATGACAAATGATTTCTAATTTCCCCCTTTGTTCCGAAAAAGGCACCAGTTATGCTGCCAGAAATGTAACAAGCCATCCATGGGCCTTGATCGAAAGCTCCTCTTGAAGGCTCCTGCATAAGAGATGCAGACAAGTAGCCATCATTTCCCCCTAAATATTAAGAATATGAATACTCCATCTGCTTTGAATCTGGAAAAAAGGGGGAGGAATGTCAATTCTAACTATGCAGACTCAACCTAGTAGAGAGGACAAGTGGGAATTGTTTTCATTTTGCGGATGGTGGTGGTTGGAAAAAAAGGGCTGAAGTGTTTGTGTGTGTGTGTTGCCAACATGTGTGAGATAGTTTCGGCGTCAACTAAGTTCTACTGAGAGTAGAGCTATTGGTATTAATGCCACTAATTTAGGAGTGATCACAGACTTTTAAACTATATTCCTGTGATGTGAAGTTTAACAGGTGGGCAACAAAAGTTGATCCTGTGGACTGATAGCATTGCCAGGAGAGTTACTGCAAGGTTGGAAGGACAAGCAACCACCATCCATTCCTCTGGACTAAAGATTTCATGGCACTTTCTACAGTTTAAAGGTAAAGGGTAAAGGGACCCCTGACCATTAGGTCCAGTTGCAGACGACTCTGGGGTTGCGGCGCTCATCTTGCTTTATTGGCCGAGGGAGCCAGCGTACAGCTTCCGGGTCATGTGGCCAGCATGACTAAGCCGCTTCTGGCAAACCAGAGCAGCGTATTGAAACACCGTTTACCTTCCCGCCAGAGCGGTACCTATTTATCTACTTGCACTTTGACATGCTTTCGAACAGCTAGGTCGGCAGGAGCTGGGACCGAACAACGGGAGCTCACCCCGTCGTGGGGATTCGAACCGCTGACCTTCTGATCGGCAAGCTCTAGGCTCTGTGGTTTAACCCACAGCGCCTCCCACGTCCCTACAGTTTAGCACATATCTAATAATTGTCAATGTCATTTGAAAACCTATTTGGACATGTGTATTATAGAATCATAGAATTGCAGAATCTTAGAGTTGGAAGGGACCCCAAGGGTCATCTAGTCCAACCACCTACAATGCAGGAATCTCACCAAAACATCCATGACCAATGGCCACCCAACCTCTGCTTAAAAACCTCCAAGGAAGGAGAGTCCACCACCTCCTGAGGGAGTCTGTTCCACTGTCAAACAGCTCTTACTGTCAGAAAGTTTTCCCGTATGTTGAGTTGGAATCTCCTTTCTTGTAACTTGAAGCCATTGGTTCGAGTCCTACCCTCCAGAGCAGGAGAAAACAAGCTTGTTCCCTCTTCCATGTGACAGCCCTTATATTCAACTTAGGATCAGTAGGTTATTCTTACCTTTTTTAATGGATTGATGGATTATTCTTACTGTTAATGGGAACTCACACTGGGTTTTATTTGAAGTATTTTTCCTCTTTCCTCTTGTTATATTTGCAATAAAATTTAATTCTTTTAAAAAAAACAAAGCCAATATTTTTGTTTTTGCTTGTTTCATTTCCCAGAAATGCTTCTGAACCATCAACAGCATTTTACTCCTGTCCTGAGTTCGTAGCACTCATGTATTCACCACACTTAAAATTAATCACATTAAAGTCCCATCTTTCCTCCAATTGGTCCAATGCAACATACATGGCACTGCCCCGTGTTACATCTTCACCACAGTCCAGTGAGGTGGGTTCGATTGAGAGCTAGTGACTGGCCCAACATCACTCACTGAGCATTTGAAGTTGGCACTGTCAGGCCCTAGACTGACATTCTTATGCTATACCACCCTTTGTACCTAACCACAGGGAAAGATGGAAAGTTGTGGCATGTAGCCATATTGCAAGGAAATCTTTTGCCATCTCTTCTACAGCCAGTCTGAAATTAGAAAAAGATTTCTTTTAATTTTATTTATGCATTTTTACAACTTATATCTCCATCATACAATATTCATCATTTATCTCTTATCCTCGGACTTCCAAGTCCATCTCTCCATTGCATTCTAGGTAGTCTTTTGTTGGCTGCATATTCTATTATTCCACCCATTTTCATCTCAAATCTTTATTTAGTGTTATCTGCTGTTCATATGTTCATTCTTGCTGAGTTAAAATTGATTGTTATACCCTCTAAGATACTCTTCAAAGCACTTCCACTCATCTCTTATCTGTGACTCATCCTTATTTCTTAATTTTGCAGTCACAGTTACTAATTATGTGTATTCTATCCATTTATTCTGCCAAATTTATTTCATGGGGATCTCTTTTTCTTTCCATTTTTTTTGCATATACCACTCTAGCTGTGGTGGTCACGTATAAAGAGATCGAGTGCCTTTTTCGGGATATAATCACTTGTTATCCCTAATAGAACTGCCTCAGGTCTTTGGGGAAATGTTATCTTAAATATCGTTTTTAATTCTGTATGAATCATCTCCCAGTATTCTCTAGCATATTTACATGGCCACCACATATGCGTCAAGGTTCCCACTAACACATGGGACATCCAGCATAGATTTGATCCTTTTCTGTACAGTTTCACCAGTTTGTTGGGTGTCAAGTACTACTGGTTCATCATCTTTGGTAAGTTTTCCTTGATAAGGTAACAAGCAAAGAAATTCATAGTTTCCCCCCATAATTTCCCCCACACAGTCATTTCTATATTATAACCAGTATCTATAAAATTAGATATTAGACATTGGAAAAACAAGGAGGTGGATAATGGTTTTGTTATTACACTGTGGACATTTCAGACAAGCAGCTTTTCAGTGATGTGATCACTGCTGTAAAGAGGGCCGGCCCTACCCTTGATTTTGTTTCTCTACATCTGAGCCAG